AACCTTCTGATCCTGTAGCCAAGAAAAAATCCAAGCCAAGTGTGCCAGCTGGGTCGTTGGTACATAGAGGCATTCGTTGATGACTAAAGTTCCATAGTTATATAAAAAAAGTTATCAAAATTTGAATTATTAGGTGAATATTTTTCAATGACTGTTGTCGTGGAGTTTCTCTCTATGTTTGCAACATTTTACTATGGAGTCATTGTTGACAGACAGAATAATTATCTGGTCATATTTTTATAATATTTATATATCACTGGCTTACAAAAACACTCATGACATTTTGTGTTCATACAAAAATTTTGTTATTAAGTAATTAGCTGCTATAAGAATCAACTATAGCCTGCAAAGTTAATTAAAAACATTTTAGAATACATTTTTAAATTTATAATAAAAGTTGTTTTTTATATTATTGATCCCTTGTGAGTTGAAAATATTTTTTAAAAATATCCAATGGTCATATGTTAGCACAAATAAAAAAAAAAAAAAAAGTCTTTTTGTAGGATAACACAATTACTGGTGAACCAGTAGTTTCAATTGTGGTCCTTGCAAACAAATGAAACAAATGATCTAAATTGAACATAACATCATTAAGAACATCATTAAGAACATCATTAAGAACCCCAAACGGCCGGAGGCAAACCAGTTGGCCATTTACAAGCATAGCCAAGGATCTGAACTCAGTTCTAAAGGACAAAGGTACAGTGCAAAATTTTAGAACCTTTGGAAAGTGAGGTATAGGATTAAAAAAAAATTAATTCGTTTAGACAAATCCAGTGGTCAGGGTGGGACTCGAACCCTGGAGCGACGGATTATGAGTCCGACACTCTAACCACTAAGCCACACTGCCTATAAAAAAAAAAAAAATGGAATTTGAACCATTTTTTAGACTGCAAGCAGTTCTTGCCTTTTGGCAACTTTGGTCATACGAGTCCCAAAAATTCAGTGGAAAAATAAAATTGAACAGATGTTAGCATGCAGTGTAGAACCCTGGAAATACATTATCCTGCCAAAATGTCAATCTCATTCCCAGGCTTCCTCCCCCTTTTTCTTACCTCATTGTTGAGGAATTAAAGGAGGGGTCACACTTCTCAACAACAAGGAAGGCAAAGGAAGGCAGAGGAAAGGAGTCTGGGGAAAAGGTTGCCAAACGGGTAATGAGAATAAACATTCTCTTGCCTCATACACAAAGAAATTTATGGCAACTGAAAAGGATTGTAACTGAACAGTTATTGCCTGTCAGAAGTTTATGTGCAGATACCATATTTCCTTGAATAAGTGCCCTTCCCTCAATAAGCACACTCCCTCCCCTCCCTCCCAGGACATAGTGTCAATTATGTGCCCTGCTTGAAGAAGGCTCACATTCATAATGGTAGTGATACAAGCAAAACCTGTTTCTATTGCCACTTTATTTATAACTTAGGCTTCTAAAAACAACTATTTTCACAACTAACTTTTTAATTAATTATTTTCATGCTGAACTTTCCAAAAAAATTTTTTTTGCAATCTTGTCGATGTTTTCATTATTTACAGTTCATTTTCTCATCTCCCATCCATAGACTTGTCTCTCTGTATTACCGACTCTTCAAACTTGATCATCAAAGTTGTTCCTTTATGCCAGTGTGCAGTTACTTTTGCAGGCTACAACAAAATTACATCTATTAGCAAACTCAATGTAGCCAACCCATACTGTAAATCCCTCAGCAAAACTCCTCACTTGTCTTAACCTTTTACACCCGAACATCATTTCCTACACATTTCCTCTTACTAGTAATTACTGACAAAGAGAATTTGGTTAAAGCAATCAAGAGCTTCAGTAGTCTCCTATATTCTTGTTACTATTGATCAGTNCTTCAAAAGCGCGCGCATCACGTGCAAAAAGAATGTATTCAAACCCTGCAAGTGACATTGACCTTGATATTGACCTAGACATTGACCAATCAGAATGTCTGGTTTGTTTCTTTCTTTGCACTGAATTAACTCTCTTCTGCACTGAATTAACTGAAAACTGCATTCATCTTAACCAATCAGAACTGAGAAATTTTTTCATGTATATTATTAGCCATGAAATAGTGTAGTTCAAAGCCCAGGTACTCACTTTATTACCTTACATACCCAGACATACCCTTTTCTGTAGTTAATTATTGTACCTTTTTGTGCAATTGTTGCCTAAAAAAAACTCAGTCTGTCTTGCATAAGTATTTTTCGTTTTCTAAGGTCCATCATTTCAGAAAAGGTATTGATGAAAACTGAATGAAAACAAAATGTATCTTTTTTTATTTTTTATTTTGGTAAATTTAGATGAACTGTGACTTTAATGTTGCAAAATTCCCTCTTTTAAAGTTAGAGCTACATCATAGTTCCTTATAAACATTATAGACTTCATATTCATCAGTTATTGCCATATTCACATATTTGTTGATAAAATTCTCCAGAGCCAAAGGTGAATAATGTTGACTCCAAAATTGAATCACTTTGCCTGCTCTACTCACAAGATATTTGGCAAAATTCCATTGTGGAGCATATTTCACACTTGCATAAAGGTACGTGTACAAAGGATGGGCTTCTCTTCCAACAACCTTGATCTTCGAAAACACTGGAAAGTTCACATTGTATTTGTTTTTCACAAATCTAGCAATGCCGCTATTCCTTAAGGGTTCCTGTTTGCCAAACTGATTGCACGGAAATGCAAGGATGTTGAAACCATGGCTATCAAACTTTGTCTGTAGTTCAACCATTTCTTTATAATGCTGATCTGTGTAACCACATTCACTGGCAACATTCACAATCAACAACACCTGCAAGTAAAAAACACAAACAGCTGATTGAGGAAACTGAAAATTCAGGGTTTTGTTGCATGCAAATGCACTGAGGCTGTTCAAAAGAGGTATTTGCTCCAGAAACCACGTAGTTTAAAAAAAATCTCAATTAAAAATAACATTGCATAACAGGATAGATTCTGTTTACAGATTCCAAAGAGTTACATAATCTTTCCAAAATTGTTTTCAAATGTATCAAAACTGCAAAGCCTAACTGGATTTCAACCATGTTCGACCATCATTTCTGGACAGCTAAGTTATTCTTTGGAATCTCCAAAGCAATTGGTAAGTGGTGATTTTTTTAACTACAAATGGTGGAGATAAAATGTGTTCTTTCGCAGATACTTCTTTCTGCCTTAGGAGCTGGGAGACACTTAAGCATGAGATGTTATCACAGTTTCCAAAGGATATGCTGCATTCCTTTGGGGATGGGATACTTGTCCGTGATAGGTCATTTTCCCCTTCCCACCC